CGTTGACTAAAGGCATTGTTCGCTGCGATTGATGTTTAACTCATCGCATCGTTCAGCGGGTATTACTGAATAATCACGAACCAATCAATCATCAAAATCTAACAACAAACCAAATTTAATAACATGTGTTGAGGCATTATGAAGTTATTGACACTTTTTTCCGAAAATGTTCGGATACTCCGCACCAAATTCTATTAAGAGGACGGTAATAATAAAAATAATATTTTTTCTATCCAAATCTTTACATTACTTCTCGAGATAGGGTACTTTGCCTTACTTAATTGACCACGGGGTACCTATATGCTGTTTACCTCTAAGGAAAGCAATTAAATCCTCAATTATTTACGGTGCATTCAATGCTATGCGATTCTTGGAATTTCCCTGCATTGAAAGTATTTTAAATTCCAAGGGTATTGGGGTATGTCTTATCACACTCAGCGTTATATTCGATGCCCCATATCGATTTATTATTATTATTCCGCACTAAGTAATCCCTACACGTAGTTCCCTTCCCCCCACATATGCTTCATTTATTTGGTTATATTTATGTATTTAAGTTTTAGGTAGGTGGTGTCTTGTCAAATCTTGTTTCACATGATATCTAGTGATGCGTAAAACTGAAACTTAGTAAACTTCAAGAAATAAAAATGAATTATTAATTAATTAAAGTAAAGCAATATATTGTGGTCTTTATCAAAATTTTGTTCTATTGTCCTGATCTTCCGTGTGAGACTATTTCGGTCTTCAAATTGTTTAATTACATTTTTAATTTAAAAAAAAAATCTCTTTTAACTCTTACAACATTATCTGCGATTGAATAATATAATTTTATTCTTTGCCGTCTTCCTTCCTCAGTATAACCCATTTGAAAAATCTTATTATTATTTAACTAACGCTGTAGATCTTTAGTTTTGATTAGTTGTCAAAAGTAGAACATTATTAAAACAATTACAAACATAGAGAATATGGTTACTATCAAGGCAGACTTGACCATTTTTAAGCAATATGGCTATTGTCCAGAAATCGAATGACAGAAATATCTCAAAAACGGCTAAATTATCTACGACTTAAGCTAATAATATATAAGGCATTCCACTAAAAAAAAGATGTTGCTGTCATTTTGACAGGTTGCGATTGTCATTTGTTTTTTCTGACATTTGCATGAGATAATAGAGCAAAAATCTTAATACTTTTGTATTTATACATTTTTTCTATCTTTCAAAATTAACAGTGTAGGTAGGCGTCAAAATATAATGAATAACCCAGTACACATGTTTTGAAATGTTTATTTGTCACAATCTTGCTAAACAATTGATGATCTTATCAAAGATGTTAGGCTTTCACGGCCAGAAACTACATTACTAAATATTTCCGGGCTTTTGAGCCGTGGTCCCGAGATTAAACTCGACGTTTCGTCTACAACTGCGGTAGACATTTTCAAGAGCGGCGTTGCGGTAACGGTCGAACTGTTTACCCAGACAAGCTCAACCCAAGCCCGCCACCGAGGTCACGCCCACTACAGCGCGCTTAAATACGGCAGATCTTCCAGTCAACCAACCAGTCATCGGAGAGCAGTACGGAAGAACACTTCGACCGTTACCGCATCGCCGCTCTTGAAAATGTCTACCGCAGTTGTAGACGAAACGTCGAGTTTAATCTCGGGACCACGGCTCAAAAGCCCGGAAATATTTAGTAATGTAGTTTCTGGCCGTGAAAGCCTAACATCTTTGATAAGTTACCATTACGGGATGGAAATATCAAGAATGGTTCGTCGACTGGAGAATCTACGAAAGAAGAAGGCTCAACTCTTATGTTCGCTCGCCTTTTTATGTCGTTGTAAAGCAGCTGATCTAACATCTTAAAATGAAAAGAACACTCAAGTCACCACAAGCCAACAGAATTTATAATCGAATGGAAAAAGCCTTTTTGCGGGAAAGAGTCCATCATACGAGACACAGCATGGCCAACTTAGATAACAACTTGCTAACCCTGAATCTAAAATTAGCAAATTCCATGCATAACGAGGACTGGGACAAAATAGATAGACTTACTTATGGAACAATGGAAGCGACAAGGGATTCTGCAACCAGGAGACAAATTAAGAAATTCAATGACCTTCAAACTAAGTCAAGTGAATCTCCCAGCACTGATTTGTCAAGGACTGTGGTAAACCTGTCTCAGCGGAAATTATCAGCAGAAGAAACGAGCATCCTCTCGAAAGGCGGGAACTTCGCAATCACACCGGACTCTGTACCATTTGAAGACATCATTGCAAACATTGAATCAGGAATTCGTAACCTGCAAGCAGATATCGCAAAGGAAATTCGCACAGAAAGTGCCAGAATTTTACGCCGGGCGAAGCCACCGAAGAGTAATGTCTCATCGAAGGAAAAGAGAGCAATTAGAGACCTCAATAAAGACATAAGCGTTATAGTCCTTCCAGCTGACAAGGGGAACGCGACTGTAGTACTAAATACCGTAGACTACGAAAAGAAAATTGGTGATCTGCTAGACCCCAAAACATACAAAAAGTTGCAACAGGACCCAACCAACCGCATCCTAAAGAAAACAAATACGTTAATCAAGAAGTCATCTATCGAACCAGAAATCCAGCGAAAACTAAGCAATTCGGAGGCATTACCACCAAGATTATACGGATTGCCAAAAATCCATAAATAGGCAGTACCCTTGAGACCCATAGTTAGCGCTATAGGTTCCCCGACTTACCATCTCGCCAAGCATCTAACCAAACTCCTTGAACCACTCATAGGGAGGACAGCATCACACATCAAGGACTCGACTCAGTTTATACAGAAGATCAAAAACATCACATTGTCACCCAAAGACATATTAGTGAGCTTCGATGTTGTTTCTTTGTTCACTATGGTGCCAGTCAAAGAGACTTTGGATTTAATATCTGCACGTTTTCGGAACGATGTCACAGAACTTTTCCGACACTGCTTAACCACCACTTATTTCCAATGGAACAAGGAGTTTTATGAACAAGTGGACGGTGTAGCCATGGGAAGCCCATTAAGCCCGGTCATAGCAAATTTTTTCATGGAAAAGTTTGAACAGCAGGCATTAAATACTGCCCAAAAGAAGCCCAAGTGTTGGTTCCGCTACGTGGACGACACATTTGTAATATGGAGCCACGGCGAAAAGGAGCTTCAAATCTTCTTGGCGCATCTCAAATCCATTAACAATAAAATAAAATTTACCATGGAGACAGAAAAGGACGGCAGGTTGGCATTCTTAGATGTGCAGGTAGAAAGGCGACCAAATGGAAAATTGGGTCATAAAGTTTATCGAAAACCCACTCACACGGAACGACCTGAACAAATTATCTAATCACCATCCGAGACAGAAAATGGGGGTAATAAAAACCTTAATGACAAGGGCTAATCGGATTAGCGAACCCAAGTACCTACGTGAAGAGATTAATCACTTGACCGATTCCCTGAAAAATAACGGATATACCACCTCTGAAATACAAAAAGCTATGAAAAATAGAAGATTTAAGACAAGAGATACGACAAAGGAACCTCAAGGGAATGTATCATTTCTTTTTATTAAGAACGTCACAGACAGGATCGGTAAACATTTAGAACGACACAACGTTCGGGTCGTCTTTAAACCAACGACTACAATCAGACAAAGCCTCAGGTCTGCCAAGGATACAAGGGACGCCTTTTCTTCACCAGGGATATACCGCATTCCGTGTTCCTGTGGCTCGGTATATATAGGTACCACAAAGAGAAGCATTGAAACTAGGCTAAAGGAACATAAAAGGAACTGCCGGCTTGGACACACGGAAAAATCAGCAGTGGCAGAACATGCTTTTTACAAAGGTGACCATCGTATCATGTTCAAAGACACGCAGGTACTGGACAAAACACCACATTTTTATCCACGTCTTTTCAGAGAAGCTATTGAAATTCAAAAACATCAGAATAATTTCAATAGAAAAGAAGAAGGTCTCAATATCAGTAAAACATGGACTCAGGTCATCAACAAAACAACGTGTTTACCCAGACAAGCTCAACCCAAGCCCGCCACCGAGGTCACGCCCACTACAGCGCGCTTAAATACGGCAGATCTTCCAGTCAACCAACCAGTCATCGGAGAGCAGAACGGAAGAACACTTCGACCGTTACCGCATCGCCGCTCTTGAAAATGTCTACCGCAGTTGTAGACGAAACGTCGAGTTTAATCTCGGGACCACGGCTCAAAAGCCCGGAAATATTTAGTAATGTAATTGATGATCTGTTTTCCTTACTACTTGATATTTTTGTTGCAAAAAATTCTAAATAGTCCAATTCTGAATTGAGGAACGCTCTGTCCAACTGTTCCATTTTCTAGATTCTGGTTGGGACATGGTTAAAAGAACTAGATGTTGATGGATTACCTTTTCATGTAAGTTGAAACTTCCAGGAGCGGTAAACAAATCGTGGGCTGCAAATAACCGGATTTCCTTGTGAAATCCTTACGAAATAAAAAAAAAGGCCTCAACATTTCTACGCATCGATAATCGTCTAGGCTTAGACTCGGTAGCAAAACAACATATAGGAATTTAAAGGTCGAAACCACATTCTCGATTCCGCAGGAATTTTACCGCATCTCGCCGTAAGGCGTTTCGCAATGTTAATTCAAATTTAGGTTCGATTCATAACTTTTTAAGCTGCTGCACGTGTCCAATGAAATGCATGGCGCAGAGGTATTGCCTATGCTCAGAATATGATTAAAAAGTTTTGAAAACGACATGCAGGTGCATAATCAAAATCTCGAATTAAATTAATGCGGCATTTAACAACCAACCAGGCCACTGGCAGAAGAAGTTTGGATGCGGCATTTTAACGAAGTTATCTTTTTGAAATCATAACACGCATTTACGAAGTTCAATCATTACGAAAATGTCTTACAAATCTTGAGAATTTGGGATCCAAAGTGAAAATATTTCTTTTTAACATTTCGTTAATGTACTAATATGAAAACGACAATCATTCTTCCATGTTATCCAAAATCCATTGGATATAACTCCCAATCCTGGTGTAAATACCCGGTTGCCCATCGGCACCGCATTGTCTCGGGCCAAATGATACAATTCCGTACTGTATGTATCTAGGCGAGCCGTCAACAAGTCCGACATACTTCATCGGTCCACCGCTGTCTCCTCCACATGAGTCTCTACCATTGTATCCACCGGCACATATTTGCTGATCCGTAATTGGAGCAAACTGTTGGTACACTTTAAGGCAAACAGACAGTGGCAACACGGGTACTGATACTTTGAGAAGTATTGGGCTTTTGTAACCTAAAATCATTTCCGCTCATCACAATGTCGCTACATATAATAAATATGGAATACAATAAAAAATGATAGAATTAAAATTAGTTTAAACTGGATGTTTCAAACTGCAGAAATTTTATGTAACAGAAAGCCTTCCTAAATAAAAAGTCACCCGAACATTTCCATGAAAATGCGAAATAATTTTCGTTAACTTAAATAAAAATACTACTTTTTCGCAAAAAAAATAGTTCTTGAGTTTTGATTTTTTCAATTACCCTTGTTGTCGCTATGGAAAGAGTTGATCAACAGCTGTTACACTGATTTAGCAACTATTAGGAATATTTGTAATTTTGAAATTTAAAGAAGATTTTGCTAGAACATGTAACTGTACCTTTTTCCGTAGCACCCCTTCCGGAGACGATAGCCGATTTTCCCGTTAGATCGTCATTAATTTCGCTCACCGGTAGACATATCGGTTTAATATTGGCTGAAATCATTTGCACATTACTAGACGTAATACTAAACTAGTTAAAAATTTTGACGATAAAAAACTGCAACGCTGATAAAATGTATATTTGTGAAAATTGGTTTTCATTTTAAATTTTGGCCTATTATAAATTCATTACAAGAAAAGGGTCAGAGCTATATTCTAATTATTCAATACTACTTACAATAACTAAAATTTGCATTATAGTCTAGCCTTATCAAGGCATATCATTTGTGTATTTCCGTTTGTTATAGTTTGGATGAATCATCATCTTTTCCGCTCGGAAATCTTGCACTTTTGGAGCGCAGTATCCTTCTTCGCAGTCCTCCGTGTTTCGTAAATCGTATTCTCCTAGCCTAACTCCAATTCTAAAACAATTAAAATAAACACTCGACTAATTATAAATACCACGTAGTTATTACACCTTTTCCAATTATTTATTTAACTCGGATATTAAAACCTATCTACTTTGAAACTTTTTTTGCATTTGCAATTAGGAAATAATGAATCCATTACATCATATATTTAAGTAGCGATATTAAATTTAAGCAACATGAGAAATGATTAACTTTCCAGTCAAGAAATATAAATAAGTACAGTGTTTAAAATGTTGAGAAAACAATAAGGAGTGTTTCAAAATTGTAGTCAAGATTTCAGGGAAACATTTTCAACATGGAAGAAAGACTCAACAAACGCTTCGTTGCCGATCCATAGAGTATTATGGTTCGCTTTAGTAACGATTACATTTTCCATTGTTTCGTCAAAAGTTTTAATTAGTAAGTGATGACCATGAGTGAGTAAGTATTGCAGATGCAAATAAATTACAATGGAATAAAAAGTTTGTAAACAAAATTGAAAATTGGCTTTCTGTATTAGAATTGAAATGCGAAGAAAAAGGAAAATGTGCATTCAAAAACGCTTTAATTTTGAACCAAATACCTCAAAAACCTATAACAAATTAGTGGGAAAACAGGTCTTATTTCAACATGGAAACACGGGTCCCCAAAATCTTGTTGATGAATTTGTTAACAATAAGAAACTAAATTCTTATAATAGTCGATAATAAAAAAAAAAAAACATCGCCAGTCGAAAAATATTCGAAACTCCTGATCGAGGTGATCATGATCTCTCTCCGACCGAAATTATGGTAATTAAATATATTCACGTTCAGCTTTAAGTGAAAACTTTAATTCCTTTAACTTGTTTAAGTCTTAAATTTATTCAAATTTTATGAAAATAGCACGTCTGAATTTGAAGTTACTTATTCATATAGTCGATTTCAATTATACCTATTACTAGTTTAGTGCCTAGTGTTAATAGAGACGCCAGCACCTAAATAATTATAAGTCAGCTACTTACATAGACATAGTATTTATAATACAAAGTGCTGCGGAGGGTATATATCTGGCATTTACTATTCGATCTCCTAGAAATAAAATCAATTACTATATTGCGCGATTTTATATTTTCATCCAACTTAGCTTTCGTCTTAAAAAGTGATTTGCCTAATTTATTTTTAGATCATACTTTCAAAATCAATGGCCATCATAGGTTTCAAAGTGACAAAAATTCGATACAATTCTCTTGGTTATATTATTTAATGATTCAAACACAGATATGTTTCTAAACATATGTAATGGGTGTTTTTTTCCAATGTATAGAACTTTAAGTTGGCATAACTGTTCAAGATGGCGACCGATTTAACAGCCGTCAAGTGATTTATTCTCGCACAAACAAAACTGCCGCATTTGGAGCGAAGCTAATCCTCAAGTGTATGTCAAAACATCGTTACATCCACAAAAACTGACTGTTTGGTGCGCTTTATGGGCTGGTGGAATCATTGGTATAGAGCTATGATTACCAACTCTTTCATCCCTGAATTGAATAATCACGATGTCGAAGAGATGTGGTTTCAACAAGACGGCGCAACATAATCGATTTATTGAAAGACACGTTTGGTGACCGCCTAATTTCACGTTTTGGACCTGTGAATTGGCCTCCAAGATCTTGTGATTTAACACCACTATTTTCTGTGGTGCTATGTAAAGTCATTGGTCTATGCGGATAAGCCACAAACGCTTGACCATTTGCAAGACAACATTCGCCGTGTTATTGCCGATATACGGTCCCAAATGTTGGAAAAAGTAATCGAAAATTGGATGCCTCGATTGGACTACATCCGCGCCAGTCGCGGCGGTCGTATGCCAGAAACCATATTTAAAATGTAATGCCACAAGATTATCTTTCGGATAAATAAAATTCATGTCAATCGAATAATCCATCGTTGTTTTATTGCAACTTAAATTTCTATACATCGAAAAAAACACCTCTTACTTATAATAGAAAAAAAAATAACGCAGCAATTTCTAAGGTTTTTTTTTTTAATTAACATGGGGTTATATAATACCAAATAGCGGCGGTTGTAAAATGTAAAAGTGTAATGTAATATAAAATTAATCATTAGATATTTAAATTTTCTATAAAAAAATCTTTAAGCGTACCTGTGTTGTATGCTATAAGGGCCATCCATGGAAATTCTTAAAATCCTGTTTGCTTTCCAGAGGTAATCCTGGAATTCGTTGCGATGGAACCGCATACATTTAATGGTAAGAGGTGAAAATTCTTGTGACTTCTAAATCTAGCGAATGCCAGAGGAATTTTCTCCGCCAGCTGAGAAGACGATTCAGTGGTTGGCGGCGCAGGAGCAGTGTTTCTAAAATTAATAAAATACAAATGGGAAAAGCGAAACAACAAATAAATTGTAACTATGAAAAGCAGCATGATACATACGTGACACAACAAACTTTTAGTTGGAAACTTCGAAATTGATATAAATTAAACAGTACTGCAACTATTCACTTACTTATTGTGTATCCGACGGAAATATCGAAGATCACAGAAAAACACAACAATTTGAACATTTCAACGAACAACCTGTTGGGCCGATGATATTTCATAAACTGATTTATCAATTCGATTACTAATGGAACAATCGGTTGAGAAAGCTAATTTAAGGTAAGTACAGCCCCATCTGAATTTATTTCGGCGCACTCTATTACTGAGAATTATAGATTTAGGTTTTACAGCCCTTACCGTTGAATTAGCAAATATATTCAAATGGAAGTTGGTCGTTATAACGTTTCTATAATTAAATGGTGTTAAAATTTCCCGTTTTATTTGCCTATTAGCAAGCAGTTACCTACGTAATGTTATTTAAAAAAATGTTTAGCACTGCGTAATAGTTTTCAAATGGATTTTAATAAAACTAAACTCAATAGAAAAAATTACAATATAAAATTGTATTTTATGCTACAAGTTTTAAATATATATTTTTCCCAACGAGCGCAACGAGTTTATAAACGTGTTACATATACTTCTGCTATCGTACATAACATACACAGATCCATCAGAACTTCAATGTCAAAATACTAGCTGCATTTTAAATATCTAGCGACCATATTCGTGACTAAAATACTAAAAACGTTCGAATAAGCTCGCGATAGCGATGTGCATAATTAGTTTTTTTTTGTTGTGAAAAATGGAGCCAACAGGTATATTTGTAAAGATTAAGAGACAATTTTGTATTGTTGGTGTACTTAAATATATATTTAACGTATAATTATTTAGTGTTATTAATTAAATTGAGTACAGTGGAAACTGTGAACAGTGAAACTTTAAACCAAATTCCAAGATTTCATTGCAGTAAAAGTTATATCGAGGTATTTATAAATCCAAATCAATCCGTTCGGGAAGCGTTGATAACCTGAAAGAGCCTTTTTTTACTTCCCACATTCAATTTAGGAAATATAGCGCCAGATTTGTGAAAATCTTGTCAGATAACAAAAACGTAATCCAAAATTAGTCACATTTCAACACAACCACACACAATCACCCGTTGACTAAAGGCATTGTTCGCTGCGATTGATGTTTAACTCATCGCATCGTTCAGCGGGTATTACTGAATAATCACGAACCAATCAATCATCAAAATCTAACAACAAACCAAATTTAATAACATGTGTTGAGGCATTATGAAGTTATTGACACTTTTTTCCGAAAATGTTCGGATACTCCGCACCAAATTCTATTAAGAGGACGGTAATAATAAAAATAATATTTTTTCTATCCAAATCTTTACATTACTTCTCGAGATAGGGTACTTTGCCTTACTTAATTGACCACGGGGTACCTATATGCTGTTTACCTCTAAGGAAAGCAATTAAATCCTCAATTATTTACGGTGCATTCAATGCTATGCGATTCTTGGAATTTCCCTGCATTGAAAGTATTTTAAATTCCAAGGGTATTGGGGTATGTCTTATCACACTCAGCGTTATATTCGATGCCCCATATCGATTTATTATTATTATTCCGCACTAAGTAATCCCTACACGTAGTTCCCTTCCCCCCACATATGCTTCATTTATTTGGTTATATTTATGTATTTAAGTTTTAGGTAGGTGGTGTCTTGTCAAACCTTGTTTCACATGATATCTAGTGATGCGTAAAACTGAAACTTAGTAAACTTCAAGAAATAAAAATGAATTATTAATTAATTAAAGTAAAGCAATATATTGTGGTCTTTATCAAAATTTTGTTCTATTGTCCTGATCTTCCGTGTGAGACTATTTCGGTCTTCAAATTGTTTAATTACATTTTTAATTTTAAAAAAAAATCTCTTTTAACTCTTACAACATTATCTGCGATTGAATAATATAATTTTATTCTTTGCCGTCTTCCTTCCTCAGTATAACCCATTTGAAAAATCTTATTATTATTTAACTAACGCTGTAGATCTTTAGTTTTGATTAGTTGTCAAAAGTAGAACATTATTAAAACAATTACAAACATAGAGAATATGGTTACTATCAAGGCAGACTTGACCATTTTTAAGCAATATGGCTATTGTCCAGAAATCGAATGACAGAAATATCTCAAAAACGGCTAAATTATCTACGACTTAAGCTAATAATATATAAGGCATTCCACTAAAAAAAAGATGTTGCTGTCATTTTGACAGGTTGCGATTGTCATTTGTTTTTTCTGACATTTGCATAAGATAATAGAGCAAAAATCTTAATACTTTTGTATTTATACATTTTTTCTATCTTTCAAAATTAACAGTGTAGGTAGGCGTCAAAATATAATGAATAACCCAGTACACATGTTTTGAAATGTTTATTTGTCACAATCTTGCTAAACAATTGATGATCTTATCAAAGATGTTAGGCTTTCACGGCCAGAAACTACATTACTAAATATTTCCGGGCTTTTGAGCCGTGGTCCCGAGATTAAACTCGACGTTTCGTCTACAACTGCGGTAGACATTTTCAAGAGCGGCGTTGCGGTAACGGTCGAACTGTTTACCCAGACAAGCTCAACCCAAGCCCGCCACCGAGGTCACGCCCACTACAGCGCGCTTAAATACGGCAGATCTTCCAGTCAACCAACCAGTCATCGGAGAGCAGTACGGAAGAACACTTCGACCGTTACCGCATCGCCGCTCTTGAAAATGTCTACCGCAGTTGTAGACGAAACGTGGAGTTTAATCTCGGGACCACGGCTCAAAAGCCCGGAAATATTTAGTAATGTAGTTTCTGGCCGTGAAAGCCTAACATCTTTGATAAGTTACCATTACGGGATGGAAATATCAAGAATGGTTCGTCGACTGGAGAATCTACGAAAGAAGAAGGCTCAACTCTTATGTTCGCTCGCCTTTTTATGTCGTTGTAAAGCAGCTGATCTAACATCTTAAAATGAAAAGAACACTCAAGTCACCACAAGCCAACAGAATTTATAATCGAATGGAAAAAGCCTTTTTGCGGGAAAGAGTCCATCATACGAGACACAGCATGGCCAACTTAGATAACAACTTGCTAACCCTGAATCTAAAATTAGCAAATTCCATGCATAACGAGGACTGGGACAAAATAGATAGACTTACTTATGGAACAATGGAAGCGACAAGGGATTCTGCAACCAGGAGACAAATTAAGAAATTCAATGACCTTCAAACTAAGTCAAGTGAATCTCCCAGCACTGATTTGTCAAGGACTGTGGTAAACCTGTCTCAGCGGAAATTATCAGCAGAAGAAACGAGCATCCTCTCGAAAGGCGGGAACTTCGCAATCACACCGGACTCTGTACCATTTGAAGACATCATTGCAAACATTGAATCAGGAATTCGTAACCTGCAAGCAGATATCGCAAAGGAAATTCGCACAGAAATTGCCAGAATTTTACGCCGGGCGAAGCCACCGAAGAGTAATGTCTCATCGAAGGAAAAGAGAGCAATTAGAGACCTCAATAAAGACATAAGCGTTATAGTCCTTCCAGCTGACAAGGGGAACGCGACTGTAGTACTAAATACCGTAGACTACGAAAAGAAAATTGGTGATCTGCTAGACCCCAAAACATACAAAAAGTTGCAACAGGACCCAACCAACCGCATCCTAAAGAAAACAAATACGTTAATCAAGAAGTCATCTATCGAACCAGAAATCCAGCGAAAACTAAGCAATTCGGAGGCATTACCACCAAGATTATACGGATTGCCAAAAATCCATAAATAGGCAGTACCCTTGAGACCCATAGTTAGCGCTATAGGTTCCCCGACTTACCATCTCGCCAAGCATCTAACCAAACTCCTTGAACCACTCATAGGGAGGACAGCATCACACATCAAGGACTCGACTCAGTTTATACAGAAGATCAAAAACATCACATTGTCACCCAAAGACATATTAGTGAGCTTCGATGTTGTTTCTTTGTTCACTATGGTGCCAGTCAAAGAGACTTTGGATTTAATATCTGCACGTTTTCGGAACGATGTCACAGAACTTTTCCGACACTGCTTAACCACCACTTATTTCCAATGGAACAAGGAGTTTTATGAACAAGTGGACGGTGTAGCCATGGGAAGCCCATTAAGCCCGGTCATAGCAAATTTTTTCATGGAAAAGTTTGAACAGCAGGCATTAAATACTGCCCAAAAGAAGCCCAAGTGTTGGTTCCGCTACGTGGACGACACATTTGTAATATGGAGCCACGGCGAAAAGGAGCTTCAAATCTTCTTGGCGCATCTCAAATCCATTAACAATAAAATAAAATTTACCATGGAGACAGAAAAGGACGGCAGGTTGGCATTCTTAGATGTGCAGGTAGAAAGGCGACCAAATGGAAAATTGGGTCATAAAGTTTATCGAAAACCCACTCACACGGAACGACCTGAACAAATTATCTAATCACCATCCGAGACAGAAAATGGGGGTAATAAAAACCTTAATGACAAGGGCTAATCGGATTAGCGAACCCAAGTACCTACGTGAAGAGATTAATCACTTGACCGATTCCCTGAAAAATAACGGATATACCACCTCTGAAATACAAAAAGCTATGAAAAATAGAAGATTTAAGACAAGAGATACGACAAAGGAACCTCAAGGGAATGTATCATTTCTTTTTATTAAGAACGTCACAGACAGGATCGGTAAACATTTAGAACGACACAACGTTCGGGTCGTCTTTAAACCAACGACTACAATCAGACAAAGCCTCAGGTCTGCCAAGGATACAAGGGACGCCTTTTCTTCACCAGGGATATACCGCATTCCGTGTTCCTGTGGCTCGGTATATATAGGTACCACAAAGAGAAGCATTGAAACTAGGCTAAAGGAACATAAAAGGAACTGCCGGCTTGGACACACGGAAAAATCAGCAGTGGCAGAACATGCTTTTTACAAAGGTGACCATCGTATCATGTTCAAAGACACGCAGGTACTGGACAAAACACCACATTTTTATCCACGTCTTTTCAGAGAAGCTATTGAAATTCAAAAACATCAGAATAATTTCAATAGAAAAGAAGAAGGTCTCAATATCAGTAAAACATGGACTCAGGTCATCAACAAAACAACGTGTTTACCCAGACAAGCTCAACCCAAGCCCGCCACCGAGGTCACGCCCACTACAGCGCGCTTAAATACGGCAGATCTTCCAGTCAACCAACCAGTCATCGGAGAGCAGAACGGAAGAACACTTCGACCGTTACCGCATCGCCGCTCTTGAAAATGTCTACCGCAGTTGTAGACGAAACGTCGAGTTTAATCTCGGGACCACGGCTCAAAAGCCCGGAAATATTTAGTAATGTAATTGATGATCTGTTTTCCTTACTACTTGATATTTTTGTTGCAAAAAATTCTAAATAGTCCAATTCTGAATTGAGGAACGCTCTGTCCAACTGTTCCATTTTCTAGATTCTGGTTGGGACATGGTTAAAAGAACTAGATGTTGATGGATTACCTTTTCATGTAAGTTGAAACTTCCAGGAGCGGTAAACAAATCGTGGGCTGCAAATAACCGGATTTCCTTGTGAAATCCTTACGAAATAAAAAAAAAGGCCTCAACATTTCTACGCATCGATAATCGTCTAGGCTTAGACTCGGTAGCAAAACAACATATAGGAATTTAAAGGTCGAAACCACATTCTCGATTCCGCAGGAATTTTACCGCATCTCGCCGTAAGGCGTTTCGCAATGTTAATTCAAATTTAGGTTCGATTCATAACTTTTTAAGCTGCTGCACGTGTCCAATGAAATGCATGGCGCAGAGGTATTGCCTATGCTCAGAATATGATTAAAAAGTTTTGAAAACGACATGCAGGTGCATAATCAAAATCTCGAATTAAATTAATGCGGCATTTAACAACCAACCAGGCCACTGGCAGAAGAAGTTTGGATGCGGCATTTTAACGAAGTTATCTTTTTGAAATCATAACACGCATTTACGAAGTTCAATCATTACGAAAATGTCTTACAAATCTTGAGAATTTGGGATCCAAAGTGAAAATATTTCTTTTTAACATTTCGTTAATGTACTAATATGAAAACGACAATCATTCTTCCATGTTATCCAAAATCCATTGGATATAACTCCCAATCCTGGTGTAAATACCCGGTTGCCCATCGGCACCGCATTGTCTCGGGCCAAATGATACAATTCCGTACTGTATGTATCTAGGCGAGCCGTCAACAAGTCCGACATACTTCATCGGTCCACCGCTGTCTCCTCCACATGAGTCTCTACCATTGTATCCACCGGCACATATTTGCTGATCCGTAATTGGAGCAAACTGTTGGTACACTTTAAGGCAAACAGACAGTGGCAACACGGGTACTGATACTTTGAGAAGTATTGGGCTTTTGTAACCTAAAATCATTTCCGCTCATCACAATGTCGCTACATATAATAAATATGGAATACAATAAAAAATGATAGAATTAAAATTAGTTTAAACTGGATGTTTCAAACTGCAGAAATTTTATGTAACAGAAAGCCTTCCTAAATAAAAAGTCACCCGAACATTTCCATGAAAATGCGAAATAATTTTCGTTAACTTAAATAAAAATACTACTTTTTCGCAAAAAAAATAGTTCTTGAGTTTTGATTTTTTCAATTACCCTTGTTGTCGCTATGGAAAGAGTTGATCAACAGCTGTTACACTGATTTAGCAACTATTAGGAATATTTGTAATTTTGAAATTTAAAGAAGATTTTGCTAGAACATGTAACTGTACCTTTTTCCGTAGCACCCCTTCCGGAGACGATAGCCGATTTTCCCGTTAGATCGTCATTAATTTCGCTCACCGGTAGACATATCGGTTTAATATTGGCTGAAATCATTTGCACATTACTAGACGTAATACTAAACTAGTTAAAAATTTTGACGATAAAAAACTGCAACGCTGATAAAATGTATATTTGTGAAAATTGGTTTTCATTTTAAATTTTGGCCTATTATAAATTCATTACAAGAAAAGGGTCAGAGCTATATTCTAATTATTCAATACTACTTACAATAACTAAAATTTGCATTATAGTCTAGCCTTATCAAGGCTATATCATTTGTGTATTTCCGTTTGTTATAGTTTGGATGAATCATCATCTTTTCCGCTCGGAAATCTTGCACTTTTGGAGCGCAGTATCCTTCTTCGCAGTCCTCCGTGTTTCGTAAATCGTATTCTCCTAGCCTAACTCCAATTCTAAAACAATTAAAATAAACACTCGACTAATTATAAATACCACGTAGTTATTACACCTTTTCCAATTATTTATTTAACTCGGATATTAAAACCTATCTACTTTGAAACTTTTTTTGCATTTGCAATTAGGAAATAATGAATCCATTACATCATATATTTAAGTAGCGATATTAAATTTAAGCAACATGAGAAATGATTAACTTTCCAGTCAAAAAATATAAATAAGTACAGTGTTTAAAAAGTTGAAAAAACAATAAGGAGCGTTTCAAAATTGTAGTCAAGATTTCAGGGAAACATTTTCAACATGGAAGAAAGACTCAACAAACACTACGTTGCCGATCCATAGAGTATTATGGTTCGCCTTAGTAACGATTACATTTTCGATTGTTTCGTCAAAAGTTTTAATTAGTAAGTGAAGATCATGAGTGAGTAAGTATTGCAGATGCAAATAAATTACAATGGAATAAAAAGTTTGTAAACAAAATTGAAAATTGGCTTTCTGTATTAGAATTGAAATGCAAAGAAAAAGGAAAATGTGCATTCAAAAACGCTTTAATTTTGAACCAAATACCTCAAAAACCTATAACAAATTAGTGGGAAAACAGGTCTTATTTGTACATGGAAGCATGGGTCCCCAAAATCTTGTTGATGATTTTGTTAACAATAAGAAACTAAATTCTTATAATAGTCGATTATAAAAAAAAAACATCGCCAGTCGAAAAATATTCGAAACTCCTGATCGGGGTGATCACGATCTCTCTCCGACCGAAATTTTGGAAATTAAATATATTCACGTTCAGCTTTAAGTGAAAACTTTAATTCTTTTAACTTGTTTAAGTCTTAAATTTATTCAAATTTTATGAAAATAGCACGTCTGAATTTGAAGTTACTTATTCATATGGTCGATTTCAATTATAGCTATTACTAGTTTAGTGCCTAGTGTTAATAGAGATGCCAGCACCTAAATAATTACAAGTCAGCTACTTACATAGACATAGTATTTATAATACAAAGTGCTGCGGTGAGTATATATCTGGCATTTATTAGGGTACCTCCACAACGAAAATCTATTCCATCTCCTAGAAATAAAATCAATTACTATATTGCGCGATTTTATATTTTCATCCAACTTAGCTTTAGTCTTAAAAAGTGATTTGCCTAATTTATTTTTAGATCATACTTTCAAAATCAATGGCCATCATAGGTTTCAAAGTGACAAAAATTCGATACAATTCTCTTGGTTATATTATTTAATGATTCAAACACAGATATGTTTCTAAACATATGTAATGGGTGTTTTTTTCCAATGTATAGAACTTTAAGTTGGCATAACTGTTCAAGATGGCGACCGATTTAACAGCCGTCAAGTGATTTATTCTCGCACAAACAAAACTGCCGCATTTGGAGCGAAGCTAATCCTCAAGTGTATGTCAAAACATCGTTACATCCACAAAAACTGACTGTTTGGTGCGCTTTATGGGCTGGTGGAATCATTGGTATAGAGCTATGATTACCAACTCTTTCATCCCTGAATTGAATAATCACGATGTCGAAGAGATGTGGTTTCAACAAGACGGCGCAACATAATCGATTTATTGAAAGACACGTTTGGTGACCGCCTAATTTCACGTTTTGGACCTGTGAATTGGCCTCCAAGATCTTGTGATTTAACACCACTATTTTCTGTGGTGCTATGTAAAGTCATTGGTCTATGCGGATAAGCCACAAACGCTTGACCATTTGCAAGACAACATTCGCCGTGTTATTGCCGATATACGGTCCCAAATGTTGGAAAAAGTAATCGAAAATTGGATGCCTCGATTGGACTACATCCGCGCCAGTCGCGGCGGTCGTATGCCAGAAACCATATTTAAAATGTAATGCCACAAGATTATCTTTCGGATAAATAAAATTCATGTCAATCGAATAATCCATCGTTGTTTTATTGCAACTTAAATTTCTATACATCGAAAAAAACACCTCTTACTTATAATAGAAAAAAAAATAACGCAGCAATTTCTAAGGTTTTTTTTTTTAATTAACATGGGGTTATATAATACCAAATAGCGGCGGTTGTAAAATGTAAAAGTGTAATGTAATATAAAATTAATCATTAGATATTTAAATTTTCTATAAAAAAATCTTTAAGCGTACCTGTGTTGTATGCTATAAGGGCCATCCATGGAAATTCTTAAAATCCTGTTTGCTTTCCAGAGGTAATCCTGGAATTCGTTGCGATGGAACCGCATACATTTAATGGTAAGAGGTGAAAATTCTTGTGACTTCTAAATCTAGCGAATGCCAGAGGAATTTTCTCCGCCAGCTGAGAAGACGATTCAGTGGTTGGCGGCGCAGGAGCAGTGTTTCTAAAATTAATAAAATACAAATGGGAAAAGCGAAACAACAAATAAATTGTAACTATGAAAAGCAGCATGATACATACGTGACACAACAAACTTTTAGTTGGAAACTTCGAAATTGATATAAATTAAACAGTACTGCAACTATTCACTTACTTATTGTGTATCCGACGGAAATATCGAAGATCACAGAAAAACACAACAATTTGAACATTTCAACGAACAACCTGTTGGGCCGATGATATTTCATAAACTGATTTATCAATTCGATTACTAATGGAACAATCGGTTGAGAAAGCTAATTTAAGGTAAGTACAGCCCCATCTGAATTTATTGCGGCGCACTCTATTACTGAGAATTATAGATTTAGGTTTTACAGCCCTTACCGTTGAATTAGCAAATATATTCAAATGGAAGTTGGTCGTTATAACGTTTCTATAATTAAATGGTGTTAAAATTTCCCGTTTTATTTGCCTATTAGCAAGCAGTTACCTACGTAATGTTATTTAAAAAAATGTTTAGCACTGCGTAATAGTTTTCAAATGGATTTTAATAAAACTAAACTCAATAGAAAAAATTACAATATAAAATTGTATTTTATGCTACAAGTTTTAAATATATATTTTTCCCAACGAGCGCAACGAGTTTATAAACGTGTTACATATACTTCTGCTATCGTACATAACATACACAGATCCATCAGAACTTCAATGTCAAAATACTAGCTGCATTTTAAATATCTAGCGACCATATTCGTGACTAAAATACTAAAAACGTTCGAATAAGCTCGCGATAGCGATGTGCATAATTAGTTTTTTTTTGTTGTGAAAAATGGAGCCAACAGGTATATTTGTAAAGATTAAGAGACAATTTTGTATTGTTGGTGTACTTAAATATATATTTAACGTATAATTATTTAGTGTTATTAATTAAATTGAGTACAGTGGAAACTGTGAACAGTGAAACTTTAAACCAAATTCCAAGATTTCATTGCAGTAAAAGTTATATCGAGGTATTTATAAATCCAAATCAATCCGTTCGGGAAGCGTTGATAACCTGAAAGAGCCTTTTTTTACTTCCCACATTCAATTTAGGAAATATAGCGCCAGATTTGTGAAAATCTTGTCAGATAACAAAAACGTAATCCAAAATTAGTCACATTTCAACACAACCACACACAATCACCCGTTGACTAAAGGCATTGTTCGCTGCGATTGATGTTTAACTCATCGCATCGTTCAGCGGGTATTACTGAATAATCACGAACCAATCAATCATCAAAATCTAACAACAAACCAAATTTAATAACATGTGTTGAGGCATTATGAAGTTATTGACACTTTTTTCCGAAAATGTTCGGATACTCCGCACCAAATTCTATTAAGAGGACGGTAATAATAAAAATAATATTTTTTCTATCCAAATCTTTACATTACTTCTCGAGATAGGGTACTTTGCCTTACTTAATTGACCACGGGGTACCTATATGCTGTTTACCTCTAAGGAAAGCAATTAAATCCTCAATTATTTACGGTGCATTCAATGCTATGCGATTCTTGGAATTTCCCTGCATTGAAAGTATTTTAAATTCCAAGGGTATTGGGGTATGTCTTATCACACTCAGCGTTATATTCGATGCCCCATATCGATTTATTATTATTATTCCGCACTAAGTAATCCCTACACGTAGTTCCCTTCCCCCCACATATGCTTCATTTATTTGGTTATATTTATGTATTTAAGTTTTAGGTAGGTGGTGTCTTGTCAAACCTTGTTTCACATGATATCTAGTGATGCGTAAAACTGAAACTTAGTAAACTTCAAGAAATAAAAATGAATTATTAATTAATTAAAGTAAAGCAATATATTGTGGTCTTTATCAAAATTTTGTTCTATTGTCCTGATCTTCCGTGTGAGACTATTTCGGTCTTCAAATTGTTTAATTACATTTTTAATTTTAAAAAAAAATCTCTTTTAACTCTTACAACATTATCTGCGATTGAATAATATAATTTTATTCTTTGCCGTCTTCCTTCCTCAGTATAACCCATTTGAAAAATCTTATTATTATTTAACTAACGCTGTAGATCTTTAGTTTTGATTAGTTGTCAAAAGTAGAACATTATTAAAACAATTACAAACATAGAGAATATGGTTACTATCAAGGCAGACTTGACCATTTTTAAGCAATATGGCTATTGTCCAGAAATCGAATGACAGAAATATCTCAAAAACGGCTAAATTATCTACGACTTAAGCTAATAATATATAAGGCATTCCACTAAAAAAAAGATGTTGCTGTCATTTTGACAGGTTGCGATTGTCATTTGTTTTTTCTGACATTTGCATAAGATAATAGAGCAAAAATCTTAATACTTTTGTATTTATACATTTTTTCTATCTTTCAAAATTAACAGTGTAGGTAGGCGTCAAAATATAATGAATAACCCAGTACACATGTTTTGAAATGTTTATTTGTCACAATCTTGCTAAACAATTGATGATCTTATCAAAGATGTTAGGCTTTCACGGCCAGAAACTACATTACTAAATATTTCCGGGCTTTTGAGCCGTGGTCACGAGATTAAACTCGACGTTTCGTCTACAACTGCGGTAGACATTTTCAAGAGCGGCGTTGCGGTAACGGTCGAACTGTTTACCCAGACAAGCTCAACCCAAGCCCGCCACCGAGGTCACGCCCACTACAGCGCGCTTAAATACGGCAGATCTTCCAGTCAACCAACCAGTCATCGGAGAGCAGTACGGAAGAACACTTCGACCGTTACCGCATCGCCGCTCTTGAAAATGTCTACCGCAGTTGTAGACGAAACGTCGAGTTTAATCTCGGGACCACGGCTCAAAAGCCCGGAAATATTTAGTAATGTAGTTTCTGGCCGTGAAAGCCTAACATCTTTGATAAGTTACCATTACGGGATGGAAATATCAAGAATGGTTCGTCGACTGGAGAATCTACGAAAGAAGAAGGCTCAACTCTTATGTTCGCTCGCCTTTTTATGTCGTTGTAAAGCAGCTGATCTAACATCTTAAAATGAAAAGAACACTCAAGTCACCACAAGCCAACAGAATTTATAATCGGATGGAAAAAGCCTTTTTGCGGGAAAGAGTCCATCATACGAGACACAGCATGGCCAACTTAGATAACAACTTGCTAACCCTGAATCTAAAATTAGCAAATTCCATGCATAACGAGGACTGGGACAAAATAGATAGACTTACTTATGGAACAATGGAAGCGACAAGGGATTCTGCAACCAGGAGACAAATTAAGAAATTCAATGACCTTCAAACTAAGTCAAGTGAATCTCCCAGCACTGATTTGTCAAGGACTGTGGTAAACCTGTCTCAGCGGAAATTATCAGCAGAAGAAACGAGCATCCTCTCGAAAGGCGGGAACTTCGCAATCACACCGGACTCTGTACCATTTGAAGACATCATTGCAAACATTGAATCAGGAATTCGTAACCTGCAAGCAGATATCGCAAAGGAAATTCGCACAGAAAGTGCCAGAATTTTACGCCGGGCGAAGCCACCGAAGAGTAATGTCTCATCGAAGGAAAAGAGAGCAATTAGAGACCTCAATAAAGACATAAGCGTTATAGTCCTTCCAGCTGACAAGGGGAACGCGACTGTAGTACTAAATACCGTAGACTACGAAAAGAAAATTGGTGATCTGCTAGACCCCAAAACATACAAAAAGTTGCAACAGGACCCAACCAACCGCATCCTAAAGAAAACAAATACGTTAATCAAGAAGTCATCTATCGAACCAGAAATCCAGCGAAAACTAAGCAATTCGGAGGCATTACCACCAAGATTATACGGATTGCCAAAAATCCATAAATAGGCAGTACCCTTGAGACCCATAGTTAGCGCTATAGGTTCCCCGACTTACAATCTCGCCAAGCATCTAACCAAACTCCTTGAACCACTCATAGGGAGGACAGCATCACACATCAAGGACTCGACTCAGTTTATACAGAAGATCAAAAACATCACATTGTCACCCAAAGACATATTAGTGAGCTTCGATGTTGTTTCTTTGTTCACTATGGTGCCAGTCAAAGAGACTTTGGATTTAATATCTGCACGTTTTCGGAACGATGTCACAGAACTTTTCCGACACTGCTTAACCACCACTTATTTCCAATGGAACAAGGAGTTTTATGAACAAGTGGACGGTGTAGCCATGGGAAGCCCATTAAGCCCGGTCATAGCAAATTTTTTCATGGAAAAGTTTGAACAGCAGGCATTAAATACTGCCCAAAAGAAGCCCAAGTGTTGGTTCCGCTACGTGGACGACACATTTGTAATATGGAGCCACGGCGAAAAGGAGCTTCAAATCTTCTTGGCGCATCTCAAATCCATTAACAATAAAATAAAATTTACCATGGAGACAGAAAAGGACGGCAGGTTGGCATTCTTAGATGTGCAGGTAGAAAGGCGACCAAATGGAAAATTGGGTCATAAAGTTTATCGAAAACCCACTCACACGGAACGACCTGAACAAATTATCTAATCACCATCCGAGACAGAAAATGGGGGTAATAAAAACCTTAATGACAAGGGCTAATCGGATTAGCGAACCCAAGTACCTACGTGAAGAGATTAATCACTTGACCGATTCCCTGAAAAATAACGGATATACCACCTCTGAAATACAAAAAGCTATGAAAAATAGAAGATTTAAGACAAGAGATACGACAAAGGAACCTCAAGGGAATGTATCATTTCTTTTTATTAAGAACGTCACAGACAGGATCGGTAAACATTTAGAACGACACAACGTTCGGGTCGTCTTTAAACCAACGACTACAATCAGACAAAGCCTCAGGTCTGCCAAGGATACAAGGGACGCCTTTTCTTCACCAGGAATATACCGCATTCCGTGTTCCTGTGGCTCGGTATATATAGGTACCACAAAGAGAAGCATTGAAACTAGGCTAAAGGAACATAAAAGGAACTGCCGGCTTGGACACACGGAAAAATCAGCAGTGGCAGAACATGCTTTTTACAAAGGTGACCATCGTATCATGTTCAAAGACACGCAGGTACTGGACAAAACACCACATTTTTATCCACGTCTTTTCAGAGAAGCTATTGAAATTCAAAAACATCAGAATAATTTCAATAGAAAAGAAGAAGGTCTCAATATCAGTAAAACATGGACTCAGGTCATCAACAAAACAACGTGTTTACCCAGACAAGCTCAACCCAAGCCCGCCACCGAGGTCACGCCCACTACAGCGCGCTTAAATACGGCAGATCTTCCAGTCAACCAACCAGTCATCGGAGAGCAGAACGGAAGAACACTTCGACCGTTACCGCATCGCCGCTCTTGAAAATGTCTACCGCAGTTGTAGACGAAACGTCGAGTTTAATCTCGGGACCACGGCTCAAAAGCCCGGAAATATTTAGTAATGTAATTGATGATCTGTTTTCCTTACTACTTGATATTTTTGTTGCAAAAAATTCTAAATAGTCCAATTCTGAATTGAGGAACGCTCTGTCCAACTGTTCCATTTTCTAGATTCTGGTTGGGACATGGTTAAAAGAACTAGATGTTGATGGATTACCTTTTCATGTAAGTTGAAACTTCCAGGAGCGGTAAACAAATCGTGGGCTGCAAATAACCGGATTTCCTTGTGAAATCCTTACGAAATAAAAAAAAAGGCCTCAACATTTCTACGCATCGATAATCGTCTAGGCTTAGACTCGGTAGCAAAACAACATATAGGAATTTAAAGGTCGAAACCACATTCTCGATTCCGCAGGAATTTTACCGCATCTCGCCGTAAGGCGTTTCGCAATGTTAATTCAAATTTAGGTTCGATTCATAACTTTTTAAGCTGCTGCACGTGTCCAATGAAATGCATGGCGCAGAGGTATTGCCTATGCTCAGAATATGATTAAAAAGTTTTGAAAACGACATGCAGGTGCATAATCAAAATCTCGAATTAAATTAATGCGGCATTTAACAACCAACCAGGCCACTGGCAGAAGAAGTTTGGATGCGGCATTTTAACGAAGTTATCTTTTTGAAATCATAACACGCATTTACGAAGTTCAATCATTACGAAAATGTCTTACAAATCTTGAGAATTTGGGATCCAAAGTGAAAATATTTCTTTTTAACATTTCGTTAATGTACTAATATGAAAACGACAATCATTCTTCCATGTTATCCAAAATCCATTGGATATAACTCCCAATCCTGGTGTAAATACCCGGTTGCCCATCGGCACCGCATTGTCTCGGGCCAAATGATACAATTCCGTACTGTATGTATCTAGGCGAGCCGTCAACAAGTCCGACATACTTCATCGGTCCACCGCTGTCTCCTCCACATGAGTCTCTACCATTGTATCCACCGGCACATATTTGCTGATCCGTAATTGGAGCAAACTGTTGGTACACTTTAAGGCAAACAGACAGTGGCAACACGGGTACTGATACTTTGAGAAGTATTGGGCTTTTGTAACCTAAAATCATTTCCGCTCATCACAATGTCGCTACATATAATAAATATGGAATACAATAAAAAATGATAGAATTAAAATTAGTTTAAACTGGATGTTTCAAACTGCAGAAATTTTATGTAACAGAAAGCCTTCCTAAATAAAAAGTCACCCGAACATTTCCATGAAAATGCGAAATAATTTTCGTTAACTTAAATAAAAATACTACTTTTTCGCAAAAAAAATAGTTCTTGAGTTTTGATTTTTTCAATTACCCTTGTTGTCGCTATGGAAAGAGTTGATCAACAGCTGTTACACTGATTTAGCAACTATTAGGAATATTTGTAATTTTGAAATTTAAAGAAGATTTTGCTAGAACATGTAACTGTACCTTTTTCCGTAGCACCCCTTCCGGAGACGATAGCCGATTTTCCCGTTAGATCGTCATTAATTTCGCTCACCGGTAGACATATCGGTTTAATATTGGCTGAAATCATTTGCACATTACTAGACGTAATACTAAACTAGTTAAAAATTTTGACGATAAAAAACTGCAACGCTGATAAAATGTATATTTGTGAAAATTGGTTTTCATTTTAAATTTTGGCCTATTATAAATTCATTACAAGAAAAGGGTCAGAGCTATATTCTAATTATTCAATACTACTTACAATAACTAAAATTTGCATTATAGTCTAGCCTTATCAAGGCATATCATTTGTGTATTTCCGTTTGTTATAGTTTGGATGAATCATCATCTTTTCCGCTCGGAAATCTTGCACTTTTGGAGCGCAGTATCCTTCTTCGCAGTCCTCCGTGTTTCGTAAATCGTATTCTCCTAGCCTAACTCCAATTCTAAAACAATTAAAATAAACACTCGACTAATTATAAATACCACGTAGTTATTACACCTTTTCCAATTATTTATTTAACTCGGATATTAAAACCTATCTACTTTGAAACTTTTTTTGCATTTGCAATTAGGAAATAATGAATCCATTACATCATATATTTAAGTAGCGATATTAAATTTAAGCAACATGAGAAATGATTAACTTTCCAGTCAAGAAATATAAATAAGTACAGTGTTTAAAATGTTGAGAAAACAATAAGGAGTGTTTCAAAATTGTAGTCAAGATTTCAGGGAAACATTTTCAACATGGAAGAAAGACTCAACAAACGCTTCGTTGCCGATCCATAGAGTATTATGGTTCGCTTTAGTAACGATTACATTTTCCATTGTTTCGTCAAAAGTTTTAATTAGTAAGTGATGACCATGAGTGAGTAAGTATTGCAGATGCAAATAAATTACAATGGAATAAAAAGTTTGTAAACAAAATTGAAAATTGGCTTTCTGTATTAGAATTGAAATGCGAAGAAAAAGGAAAATGTGCATTCAAAAACGCTTTAATTTTGAACCAAATACCTCAAAAACCTATAACAAATTAGTGGGAAAACAGGTCTTATTTCAACATGGAAACACGGGTCCCCAAAATCTTGTTGATGAATTTGTTAACAATAAGAAACTAAATTCTTATAATAGTCGATAATAAAAAAAAAAAAACATCGCCAGTCGAAAAATATTCGAAACTCCTGATCGAGGTGATCATGATCTCTCTCCGACCGAAATTATGGTAATTAAATATATTCACGTTCAGCTTTAAGTGAAAACTTTAATTCCTTTAACTTGTTTAAGTCTTAAATTTATTCAAATTTTATGAAAATAGCACGTCTGAATTTGAAGTTACTTATTCATATAGTCGATTTCAATTATACCTATTACTAGTTTAGTGCCTAGTGTTAATAGAGACGCCAGCACCTAAATAATTATAAGTCAGCTACTTACATAGACATAGTATTTATAATACAAAGTGCTGCGGAGGGTATATATCTGGCATTTACTATTCGATCTCCTAGAAATAAAATCAATTACTATATTGCGCGATTTTATATTTTCATCCAACTTAGCTTTCGTCTTAAAAAGTGATTTGCCTAATTTATTTTTAGATCATACTTTCAAAATTAATGGTCATCATAGGTTTCAAAGTGACAAAAATTCGATACAATTCTCTTGGTTATATTATTTAATGATTCAAACACAGATATGTTTCTAAACATATGTAATGGGTGTTTTTTTCCAATGTATAGAACTTTAAGTTGGCATAACTGTTCAAGATGGCCACCGATTTAACAGCTGTCAAGTGATTTATTCTCGCACAAACAAAACTGCCGCATTTGGAGCGAAGCTAATCCTCAATTGTATGTCAAAACACCGTTAGGTACATCCACAAAAACTGACTGTTTGGTGCGCTTTATGGGCTGGTGGAATCATTGGTATAGAGCTACGATTACTAACTCTTTCATCCCTGAATTGAATAACCATGATGTCGAAGAGATGTGGTTTCAACAAGACGGCGCAACATGTCACACAGCTCGTGCCACATTCGATTTATTGAAAGACACGTTTGGTGACCGCCTAATTTCACGTTTTGGACCTGTGAATTGGCCTCCAAGATCTTGTGATTTAACACCGCTACTTTCTGTGGTGCTATGTAAAGTCATTGGTCTATGCGGATAAGCCACAAACGCTTGACCATTTGCAAGACAACATTCGCCGTGTTATTGCCGATATACGGTCACAAATGTTGGAAAAAGTAATCGAAAATAGGATGCCTCGATTGGACTACATCCGCGCCAGCCGTGGCGGTCGTATGCCAGAAACCATATTTAAAATGTAATGCCACAAGATTATCTTTTGGATAAATAAAATTCATGTCAATCGAATAATCCATCGTTGTTTTATTGCAACTTAAAGTTCTATACATCGAAAAAAAACACCCCTTCCTTATAATAGAAAAAAACATAACGCAGCAATTTCTAAGGTTTTTTTTTAAATTAGCATGGGTTATATAATACCAAATAGCGGCGGTTGTAAAATGTAAATGTCTAATGTAATATAAAATTAATCATTAGATATTTAAATTTTCTATAAAAAAATCTTTAAGCGTACCTGTGTTGTATGCTATAAGGGCCATCCATGGAAATTCTTCCAATCCTGTTTGCTTTACAGAGGTAATCCTGGAATTCGTTGCAATGGAACCGCATACATTTAATGGTAAGAGGTGAAAATTCTTGTGACTTCTAAATCTAGCGAATGCTAGAGGAATTTTCTCCGCCAGCTGAGGAGATGATTCAGTGGTTGGCGGAGCAGGAGCAGTGTTTCTAAAATTAATAAAATACAAATGGGAAAAGCGAAACAATAAATAAATTGTAACTATGAAAAGCAGCATGATACATACGTGACACAACAAACTTTTGGTTTAATCTTATTATTCTTATATTCAAATCCACACTGGTGGTCTCGCAAAATTTTCGCGACGCTCCTAGGCCGCGGGATCGGAGTTCTGTCTAGCAATTCGGAAAAAAATGGACATTCCCGAATTCCGACGCATTTATCGCCCATAGGCATCTGGCACGATATTTCATCCCTGAAGCCTATAGAAAATGAGATAATGAACAAAAGAATGACCACTGATATCAACGCTGAAGTTAATGTTGTACGTTTTTTAAAAATATTGAAATCCGTTTAGTTAGTTGTGGCGATATACTTATGTTTTGTGGATCCGCCCAGATAACTCGATTTATTTGAAAATTGCCAATAGTGTCGTCATATTGATTATAAATATCAGGTTGCGATAAACTGTTAAAAAGGCAATTTGACATTTAGTAAAAACATGCAAGACTGCATTTAAAATGGTGAGCTTGACCGGAAGTGGAAAATAATGTTATCGACACCCGATATATTCGAAAAGGAAACCAAACATTTCAATAAGCGCAACCGAGCGAGACAACGAAATTGATATAAATTAAACGGTACTGCAACTATTCACTTACTTATTGTGTATCCGACGGAAATATCGAAGATCACAGAAAAACACAACAATTTGAACATTTCAACGAACAACCTGTTGGGCCGATGATATTTCATAAACTGATTTATCAATTCGATTACTAATGGAACAATCCGTTGAGAAAGCTAATTTAAGGTAAGTACAGCCCCATCTGAATTTATTTCGGCGCACTCTATTACTGAGAATTGTAGATTTAGGTTTTACAGCCCTTACCGTTGAATTAGCAAATATATTCAAATGGAAGTTGGTCGTTATAACGTTTCTATAATTAAATGGTGTTAAAATTTCTCGTTTTATTTGCCGATTAGCAAGCGTAATGTTATTTTAAAAAAATGTTTAGCACTGCGTAATAGTTTTCAAATGGATTTTAATAAAACTAAACTCAGAACTTCAATGTCAAAATACTAGCTGCATTTTAAATAAAGTAAAAGTTATATCGAGGTATTTATAAATCCAAATCAATCCGTTCGGGAAGCGTTGATAACCTGAAAGAGCCTTTTTTTACTTCCCACATTCAATTTAGGAAATATAGCGTCAGATTTGTGAAAATCTTGTCAGATAACAAACACCTAATCCAAAACTAGTTACATTTCAACACAACCACAAAAAATCACCCGTTGAGTAAAGGCATTGTTCGCTGCGATTGATGTTTAACTCATCGCATCGTTCAGCGAGTATTACTGAATAATCACGAACCAATCAATCATCAAAATCTAACAACAAACCAAATGTGACAACATGTGTTGAGGCATTATGAAGTAATTGACACTTTTTTCCGAAAATGTTCGGATACTCCGCACCAAATTCTATTAAGAGGACGGTAATAATAAAAATAAAATTTTTCTGTCCAAATCTTTCATTACTTTTCGAGATAGGGTACTTTGCCTTACTTAATTGGCCATGGGGTACCTATATGCTGTTTACCTGTAAGGAAAGCAATTAAATCCTCAATTATTTACTGTGCATTCAATGCTATGCAATCCTTGGCATTTCCCGGCATTGAAAGTATTTTAAATTCCAAGGGTATTGGGGTATGTCTTATCACACTCAGCGTTATATTCGATGCCCCATATCGATTTATTATTATTATTATTCCGCACTAAGTAATCCCTAAACGTAGTTCCCTTCCCCCCACATATGCTTCATTTATTTGGTTATATTTATGTATTTAAGTTTTAGGTAGGTGGTGTCTTGTCAAATCTTGTTTCACATGATATCTAGTGATGCGTAAAACTGAAACTTAGCAAACTCCAAGAGAATAAAAATTAATAATTTACGCAAAAAAATGTTTTTCTCCATTTTACTTTAGGTTCTACGTTTAGTGTTTAAAAAAGAGTAAAATATAATATTATTAATTATAGTTTCAATATTATTATAGATTTTTTTAACAAATGGGAGACCGAGCTTTAACGATTTTTTAAGGTAATATTTGGTGAAAATTTTCTTTCAAAAATTTTGTATGTAGGATCCGTAATGATATTAAAAAAGATGTGTTAAATTCAATTTGATCTTTTTCTAGCCATTTTCATGCTTCATAAAATCTCTAAAATCAAATATCAGTGGCGTTTAGTATGTAAAATTCTAATTTCTAACTAATTTAGATAAAGATTAAAAGTATGACATTTTTTTTAAAGGACTTCATCAACTTGGTTGTCCCAATACACCTATTTTAGCCTGTATACTATTTATATTATTTACAGCAAATAATATTGAGTTAGTTTTACCAGTATTTGACATTAACATTCTTGTCCTGGCGTTTTATTGCGATAATGATGTCGTTCTTTTTATTTGATTATTATTACAGCCAATAATCTCTCGATAATTCTGCTTTACAGTTTTTTCTTTTTGTGTGTTTATTTTACGTAACAATATACTATTACAAATGGATGAAGTAATTTTAAATAACATCGCCAAGTGAGTTTTATAAAGCGAATTTAACTCCCGCATGCGCAATATTACCATTTAACGAGATCCAAGAGAAAAAACTGGAATTGCTGCACATTTTTGTCACATTTTGTTTATATTATTCTGTTCGTATTTTATTATCTTGAGTTGAATAGAAATGTAAGTTCTAAATAACGTAATCTTATTTGTTCTCTTTAAGCAAAAGAAAAAAATAAACAACCGGTTCCTTGGTCTTGCAGATATAAAATAAAAGTAAAAATATTAATATTATAAAATACATTCAATATACTTTTTTAAACTTTTATATAGTACATTTTCTGTATTTCGTGGTTTACTATATAAGTTTCGACTTATACAAAGCTGACAATAAAATAGCAGTATAGTATCCAGGACATTCAAAAAACAGTACACAGGTTTCGAAATGTTAAACAAATATTTATTCGGCACATTCACACACTACTTAACAATTGTTCATAAAAAATGTTTTGAAAACATCAGTACATCGCATTAAAGCTAAAACTAAGCTAAACTTGCTAAGCACTTGCTAAGCAATCGCTGGAGTGTTTTCCTTACGATTCTCGCCATTTGATATCCTCGTTGCGAAAAATTCGAAATAGTCCAATTCCCGATTGAAGAACGCCCTATTCAACTGTTCCATCCTCCTTTCCAATTTCATGCTCCCACAACTACTAGGTTATGTACGGCTGGATGTCTCTTTGTTCATCTACTAGAGTAGTACTAGATTTTGGTTGTGACGTGGTTGAAAGAACTAGATTCTCCTTTTCGTACAAGAATTTCCTTGTGAAATATTTACGAAATTCTAGTTTTCGCAGGAATTTTACCGCATCTTGCCTTAAGGGCTTTTGCAGTGTCTTAATCAAATTCATATATGATTCACAACTCTTCAAGTTGATGCACGTGTCCGATGGCCTGCATGGCGCAAACGCACTTTTGGTATCTGCAAAAGCGGCAAAGGTAACTAAATGCATTTATGAGAACTTTATGTTTCGAGATTCATTTTTCTGCAACAATTATTTTTTTAATCAAAACAGTAAGATTTTTTCAGGCAGGTATTAATTAAACCCAGATGGCAGTAACCAGATACTTACTGTTATCATTGGCAATACATTAATAATAAATATAATAAAATAATTGAAATAAATAATCTTGACACCAAATTAGAAATACATTTAGTAAGCTTTTTAAGTTATAATTTTACAAAAAAAGTTACTGACAACTGACAAAATATGAAATATTCACTCCATGTTTTTAAATTGGAAAAGAAAGAAAATTAGGCTTTTCAAATATGTAAAACCCGAACAATTGAACTATATAAACGAAACCAAACCATAAGAAATTATTTTGCGTAAATAAAATTTCGACATATTTTGAAGCTTTTCAAAACTTACCGATAATGCTTCTTGCTAAAACACATTTCAAAGTGAACCACATCACCCAGCAACCAAATTTAATCAGCATTTTTATGCTTCGTCTTGTTCAACTTTGGAAACCGTCGTCACTGACCTGATAATCATTAATGAGAATTTTGGTGTGCAATCCCTTAATATAATACTTGAATCACGCAGTCATTAACGTGCCTATTCATAACTATGGGGAATTTTCAGTAATTACTCTTTACCTAACCTAATAAATTTAGGAATATTTTTATGATATTTCAGAATCGAGAGGAACAAATCGTAAGATTTATTATTATTATTATTAAGTGATTCCCCCAAGACAAAATGCTAAATTCAATTTCAAACTCTGAAGTACCTTATGTGACATCCGTTAGCCCACGTATTACAATAAGTTAAATTAAACTCTTGTATTTACGTAATAAAAGGAATTCCAGGTATTCTGAGTTTTGGATTTTTCATTTTGTATAAGTAAAGTGTTGTATTTTATGCAGTAAGTTTGATAAACGTTATGTTTTTGTGTGTTGGTAATGACCAAATTCTTATTTTCTTGAAATGATTTACATCAACTATTGAAGAAAACTTTTTTATTTACAGCGATGCGCGCCGACTGGCCTGGCGTTTTACCTACCTACCTACCTGGCCTACCCTTTTACACGGGCGCGACGTTGTCACGTCTTCAATTTAAGCATACAATTGTGACAATAGGCTCTAACGTTCCGCTCGCCTTGATAGGTATCAATTATACCTTCAAATAAAAAATAGTTCAAGAAAAACTTAAATAAACTTGTTCTGTGGACAATGACAATTGTCACTCGTCACCTACACATGTATCACCACACGATTCAGTTAAATCATTTTGTTCCATCGGTAACACACATAACTTAGTTACAGCACGCTGGGTCTCCGATCCATTGGCAAGTCTGATCGTAGCAACTCGTTCTAGCTTCCACTGCAGAGGAGATGCATTGTCTTCCTTGACGATGATTAGGCTACCAACATTCAGAAGACTGTTGAAGTTAGTTTTCCACTTTAGACGTCCTTGCAACTCGAATACTTACTCTTTCTGAAATTGTTGCCAAAAATGTAGTAGAGCTTGCTGCATTTGCTTATATTTTGATAATTTTGATGACGGCATTGTTACTAAGTCTTCCCCATCTAGTAGTGCCGACATTGTTCTTCCGATGATGAAGTGAGCGGGGGTTAAAGGAGTGGAATCGTCAGGATCCATGGAAAGAGGGGTCAATGGTCTAGAGTTCAAAATACCCTCGATCTGAACCAAGATTGTGCGGAAATCTTAAAAAGTTAACACCAAATTACCAACTACCTGTTTAATGTGGTATTTTGCGCTTTTTACACCCGCCTCCCATAGGCCACCAAAATTAGGCGCTCTTGGAGATATAAAATGCCATGATATACCCTCGTTACCTAGTGAATTAGAAATACATTGGAATGACAAATTTAAAAAACTATACAAATCGCATAACTGAGAGTTGGCTCCTACGAACGTAGTGCCATTGTCTGAGAAAATGTGTCAGTTGTTAGATCTGTTAATAAATCAAGATGTATGACTTTGGTTGCCATGCAAATAATAAGACAAATGTAA